GTCAGACCGTTTTCCACACGTACAACCGTTGCAGCCCACATGGTCACGCAATCAAAATTCACACACTTGGCCACTGATTCATATTTATGACCATTGCAGTGTCCCCGGTGTGTGTGTGTGACATAATCCCATTTTGCGACCTTCGGACAAGCAAAGTAAATAAGGGAAGCCAGATTAATTCAACAACCATGTCACTAAGTTAAGTACCGCAGCAATTCACTTAACAATTGTGGTGTTGGGCTCCGAGTTTGCTATGGAGCCCGTCAGCTCCAAACACGCCTCGCAGCAAGTCAGCTGGCCATGCAGAATGTCACCTTATCTCTGCTGCTGCCGGATCTGTATTTCTGCTTGTATGTGTTGAGAGTGGCTGCAGGATGGATTCTGAAGCAACTGCAGGGCTGCAGGATGGATTCTGAAGCAACTGCAGGGCTGCAGGATGGATTCTGAAGCAACTGCAGGGCTGCAGGATGGATTCTGAAGCAACTGCAGGGCTGCAGGATGGATTCTGAAGCAACTGCAAGGCTGGAGATGGCTCTTTTCATGTATTGATGTGGTGCATATTGTTAGAGGGGGTTGGGGCACACATAGGTAGTAAGTAAGCCTTCGGTTAAACATGGTGAAGGTGGCACCAGGTGGGGATAACAGATAAACAGATAATCAGAGTTGGAAGGGACCTTATAGGTCATCTAGTCCAACCCCCCCCCACCCAAGTGGGAGACCCTACACCATTTCTGCCAAATGGCAGTCCAATCTCTTCTTGAAAGTCTCAACTGATGGTGCTTCCACAATTTCTGAGGGCAAAGCTGTTCCATTGGTTGATTGTTCTCACTGTCAGAAAGTTTCTCCTTATTTCCAGGTTAAATCTCTCCTTGTTCAGTTTTCATCCATTATTCCTTGTCTGGCCTACAGGCACTTTAGAAAATAGCTTGACCCCTTCCTCTCTGTGGCAGATCCTCAAATATTGGAAGACTGCTATCATGTCTCCCCTGGTCTTTACTAGACTAGCCAAGCCCAGTTCCTGTAACCGTTCTTCATATGTTTTAGTCTCCAGTCCCCTAATCATCCTGGTTGCTCTTCTCTGCACTTTTTCTAGAGTCTCAACACCTTTTTTATAATGTGGTGACCAAAACTGGATGCAGTACTGTAGGTGTGATCTTACTAAGGCTTTATAGCAGTGGTGGGATTCAAAAACTTTTACTACCGGTTCTGTGGCGTAGTGGGCGTGACAAGGAAGGATACTGTAAAATCCCCATTCCCTCCCCACCCCACTAACCTGCTTTCCAGCTCTGTTCTCCTGTGCAGGGCAACAAAAGAAGACCCAGCCAATCAGTTGGGACTCAGGAGGCAGAGAATAGATGGGGTTGGCGGGGCCAGTCAGAGGTGGTATTTGCTGGTTCTCTGAACTACTCAAAATTTCCTCTAACGGTTCTCCAGAACTGGTCAGAACCTGCTGAATACCCACCTCTGCTTTATAGAATGGTATTAATACCTCACTTGATCTTGACTGTATCCCTCTGTTCATGCATTGGCTTTTTGGGAGGCGGCTGCACGCTGCTGGCTCATATTTAGCTGGTTGTCCACTAAGACTCCAAAATCCCTTTCCCGGTTACTGCATCAGTTAGTGATGGTCGGAATAGGGTAGGGATGTAGACATGTTATAGGGTTAATAGCATTTAGGGATAATGGGTTAGGCATATAGGCCTGGGTGTGGTGAGGTGTGTCTCATGATAATGGTAATAAAACGAAAGGGAGCAAACTTAAACCCAGCGCTAACCTTGCCTGGTTTTTCGCTTTTCTTGTCAGATAAGAGTATTTGTTGTTTGCTGACCTAATGAATAAACCTCCATTGCACTAGAAAGGAGCTGGAGTTTGTATTCATTTCAGGACAAATCTTCAGTATTCAAGGACTGGCTGAGATGTGGCAGGAAAAGTCGTAAAAAGGGGCAAGTCTCACTCAACAAATGTCTTGCTTAGCAACCAAAGTTTGGGGCTCCATTGTGGTCATACGTCAAGGACTATGTCAACCCATAATATATTTCTTTGGTCTTTTTAGAGTGGCCAGCAGAAAGGGAGGGGGGAGCAGTGCGGCAGCTTGCAAAACCGAAACTGCATTCCATAAATGTTTTCAAAGATAGTAACTAGGTGACCGAAGTTTCTGCCATGCAAAATTCTAACTGGAGAGGATGATGGATGACTTTTGGCTATGGATGTGTCCCATTGGAGAATATGAATTACAATACACCCAGGTGTTGGGGGGAAAACCAGGGTCAAGGGTGACAATGAATGATGTGCCTCAGAGTTGGCTACATCCAGGCAATGCTGGCATGTTTACTCCTAATAAATCTTCTTTAAGCTTTGGAAGTTTGTCTCGAGACTCATGATTTAAATGGGAGTAACTGCTGGAATCCTGACAGACTGCCTGCATTTACAACCACTGCAGTGTCCCTGGGTCACGTGCAGGGGTGGGATTCTACCAGTTTGGACCAGTTCTATAGAACCGGTTGTTACAATTCTGTGCAGTTTGGAGAACTGGCAAATTGCGGCACTGGCTGGCCGCTCCCCTCTTGTCGGATTTCTGCTTTCTAGGTAATCTAAATCGCTGTTGTACTGCTTTGCCTTCACCCAGGAGGCTTCCCTGAGGCCCAGTCAGGGGTGGTATTCAGGGGAAGAGGGGGGGAGAAGTGGCCTGAGAGCAGAGTTGAATCTTCCTTAGGACTGAAGCTTCTATTTTTCAGTGCAGGCTCAGGCAGCAGATTGCAGAAAGGTAGATCTCTGAGTGAATCTGTGATTCTGCAAGCAACTCAATCTGCTTTGCCTGATTTTGGGTGAAAGTTGCTCTTTTTTATTTATTTATTTCAATATTTACATAAATATTTACAATATTTACATACAAGCCATGCCCAGCCAGTCACGTGACCACAAAGCCATGCCCAGTCAGCAAGCCACACCCACCCAGTCACATGACCAAGCCACACCCACAAATTAGGCCATGCCCACAGAACCAGTTGTTAGGAAATTTGAATCCCACCCCTGGTCATGTGACTGCCATTTGTGACCTCATCCGGCTGCTGACAAGCAGTCAATGGGGGAAGCCAGTTTCCTTTAATGACCAGATGATCCGCTTAACAAATGCAGTGATTTGCTTATCGATTATCAAATCAGACACCACTCGCTTAACCACCACCTTGCTTAGCAACGGAAATTTTGCTCCCAATTGTAATATTAAGTCGAGGACTACCTGTAAGAAGGTCCCGGACTAATACAGGTAGTCCTTGACCTACGACCAAAATGGAACCCCAAATTTCACTGCTAAGGGAGACATTTGTCAAGTGAGTTTCGTCCCACTTTACCACCTTTCTTGCCACTATTGTTAAGCAAACCATTGCAGTTATTACATTAGCAATACGGTTGTTAAGTGAATCCGGCTTCCCCATTAACTATGCTCGCCCGAAGGTCGCAAAAGGGGAATCATATGATCTTGGGACACAGCAACGGTCATAAGTATGAACCAGTTGCCAAGCAACTGAATTTTGATCAATATGATCATAAGGATGATGAATGGTGCAGTGGCCTAGAGGTCGAGATCTCGCATCACAATCAACAGGCTGTGAGTTTGATTCTAGGTAGAGGCAGATATTTCCCTCTCTGGACACAATGTGTCATGCCCCTATTGGAGCTGACAGGAAATGGAAGTGTGGCTCCAGAGGTTGTGGAGGAGGCTGGGGAAGGGCATGGGCCGGCTGGGCAGTCAGAGGAAGACCCAGGTCCATCCCCTTTCCATCCTAGGGCACGCAGGGAGGAGAGGATAAGGGAGAAACGTGAATGGTCTGGTCTAAGGGGGAGGAAAGGGCCCTGATCCCCTTCATGGGCTGAAGCTGGGAGGACTGTTTAAAAGGACAAACTGCACATGATCCAGTGCTGGAAACAAAGCATGAAAATATTTTTAGTCTGTCTGTTCTTATCTGAGTTTGTCGTTCTTCCCAGTGTGTATTCCAATATCTGTGAATGTCTTCAAGCCCTTATCTTGCCTGGTTTCCTTAATTGCTTCAGTGTGGTATGTGTGTTTTTTTTTCTGTTTGTCTTTTGTAGGTATTTTTAGTTTGAATGGCATTTCCTCCTTTTTGCAAGTGTTTGTGAGGGAGATTTTTGTCTCCAGTCAAGGATATTTGGAGCTTTGAAGCCAAGTTGAAGGAATTAAAAGGGCGTCGCCTGTTTTTGTGACTTTGTTGATTTTGTGTCCCCACCCTGTATATATCCTCACACAATGAGGATATATCTGCTGAACAAAATTCCACACTGGCGACGCGAAGGGCATCCGGCCATTAAAAAACACTCTGTTCGCTCCATCCGGTTACTCAGACTCCACCCCACAAAGGATTATGGGGTCATTAAATGAAGATAAAGATGATGATCGTAAGGATGATGCAAACACTGCAAGTATGAAAAATGGACATCAGTCCCTTTTTTCAGTGTTGTAAATTCCGGCGGTCAGTAAGCAAACTGTTGTAAGTCAAGGGCTACTTATAAGAAACTCCCAAATGAATACAACCCCAGAAATGTCTCCAGGTACCCAACTGAACATAAATACTCACCGCTCCTACAGGGTAGACTGGCACATATGCCGTGCAAGGCTGTAGTTGAACTGGATACCCTGGGTGCATGTATCCTCCGATGGGAAGGGTCCCGACAGGCGGATGTGTCTGCACTACATAGCCCTGGGCAGCTCCGTTGAACTGAGTTTCCTGCATGTAGGGGTCAGGGGGGAGGCGCGGTAGGGTGGCAGAATGGTGGCGGGGTGGGCGTGGGAGGGTGGCTGACGTGGGGGGTGGCCTGGGGAGAGTAGCAGCCCCTCCAAGCCGGGGCAAAGTGGCTGTTCCCGAATGCACAACCGTAGCAAAGGAATCACTGTATCCCGGGACGGGGGCATCCTGAGGAGGGGGAGGGGGAGGTTGCAAAACGGTGTTGTAAGGTGGGGGAGAGGGGTGGGGGGCGGAATCAGGAAGTCCTAAAGGGGGAGAAAAAGAGAGAGAGAAAGCAGTCAAGATAAAAGAAACCACCAAAAATCACATGTCAGCACGGAACAACTCTCACCGAAGGAAACCCCGGTGAAAGCTTGGTGTCAGCTTTGGAAGCCATATTAGCACCAGACATAGCTTCCACGCTGCCACATTCTTGAGCCTGGGAAAATGGGAGGGGGGAATTGCTTGGAGTGTATGTGGTTAGACGTAATAGCATTCTTTTTCTAAGTCAAGGTCATGTTCTTTCTGCACCTGGGTGAAGGGATGTTAAACAGATAAACAGAGTTGGAAGGGACCTTGTAGGTCATCTAGTCCAACCCCCTGCCCAAGTGGGAGACCCTACACCATTTCTGACAAATGACAGTCCAATCTCTTCTTGAAGGTCTCAAGTGATAACGCTCCCACAACTTTTGAAGGCAACTTCTGTTCCATGGGTTGATAGTTCTCACTGTCAGAAAGTTTCTCCTTATTTCCAGGTTAAATCTCTCCTTGTTCAGTTTCCATTCCTTGTCTGGCCTTTGGGTGCTTTAGAAAATAGCTTGACCCCTTCCTCTCTGCGACAGCCCCTCAAATATTGGAAGACTGCTATCATGTCTCCCCTGGTCTTTCTCTCCACTAGACTAGCCAAGCCCAGTTCCTGTGACCGTTCTTCATATGTTCTACTCTCCAGTCCCCTAATCATCCTGGTTGCTCTTCTCTGCATTTTTTCTGGAGTCTCAACATCTCAAGATGTCTCAAGTTGGGGTGGATGGTGATTGGGGCATGCGATGCGATGATGGGTGCGGGGGGTGGATTTGTAATTTTTACTTATTGCAAGGAAACCCCAAACTTTCAGATTCGGGATTCCCCAGATGTGCCAGTTTACTACTCTTAATAAAAAGAACTTTGGAAAGGATGTCTGTCTCGGAGTTATTTGTTGGAATGGAGGTTTTCTGGAACGCTCAAAAGCCATGTGGTTATATTTATTCCTGTTCTATCAATATTCGGTTTCCCTGACTGATCTATTCTGCATCCAAAACACAAATGTACCCATTCAAAATAGATATTTTAATAACCCAACTCCCGAACTCCCAAACATGAACAGCAGACTCCACAGGCGGCTTTGCAATCTGCCGCACCATTCCAGCGCTCAAAATAACAGATTAAAAACAGCAACCGAGACAGATAACTGTACTAAGGTTAGCCTCAGCCCACATTTCCTTATCGGTTTAGGTTATATTTCCAAAGCAAGATAGATCAGGGTGGAACAAACCTCAACGTCTGTCAAGAGAAATGCAACGTGACACCAATGCCCCGTGTTGCTTTCTGACTGACCAACGGTCCAGAAACAAAGAGACCTAATTCTGTCACATTGACAACTGCAGAGAAATGGATGTTCAGTCTTCCTGGTTCTCTCCTAAGTCTGAAACCCCCACTAGAAAAAAAGTTTGCCTGCATGAAACAGAAGGTGGCATCAACACCAATTTCTCCTGTATATAGTTTGACACAGCAATAGCGATAGAGTTCTTTATTGGCCAAGTGTCATTGGATACACAAGGAATTTGTCTCTGGTGCATAGGCTCTCAGTGTACATAAAGAAAAAATAAAATACATTTATCAAAAATCATAAGATACAACACTTAATGATAGTCATAGGTTACTAATAAGCAATCGAATCATACTAGGAAACAAATAAAACAATATAAATTGTAAAGATACAAGCAACACGGTTATAGTCGTAAGTGGGAAGAGGTGGGTACTAGGAAGGATGAGAAGAAGGATGAGAAGTAATATAGTCTTACTAAATAGTTTGACAGTGTTGTGGGAATTAGTTGTTTAGCAGAGTGATGGCATTTGGGGAAAAACTGTCCTTGTGTCTAATTGTTCTGGTGTGCAGTGCCCTATAGTGTCGTTTTGAGGGTAGAAGTTGAAACAATTTTTGTTCGGGATGTGAGGGGTCTGTAAATATTTTCACAGCCCTCTTTTTGACTCATGCAGTATATAGTCCTCGATGGAAGGCAGGTTGGCAGTAATTATTTTTTCTGAAGTTCTAATTATCCATTGAAGTCTGTGTCTATCTTGTTTGGTTGCAGAGCCAAACCAGACAGTTATAGAGGTACAGATGACAGACTCAATAATTCCTCTGTAGAAATTATCATCAGCTCCTTGGGCAGTTTGAGCTTCCTGAATTGGTGCAGATATATAGCACTTTTATACCGATTTATAGTGCTTTAACAGCCCTCTCTAAGCCGTTTTACAAAGTCAGCATATTTGCCCCCAACAATCTGAGTCCTCATTTTACCCACCTCGGAAGGATGGACGGCTGAGTCAACCTTGAGCCTGGTGGGATTTGAACTGCCAAATTGCAGGCAGCTGGCAGTCAGCAGAAGTAGCCTGCAGTACAGCACTCCAACCACTGTGCCACCGAGGCTCTAAACATCATCCCTCCAAGATAGATCAGGTCAGGAAACAGGTGACCAAGAACATAGGTTAGTCCTCGACTTACAATTGATCCCAAAATTCCTGTTGCTAAACAAGACAGCTATTAAGTGAATTCTGCTCCATTGTACGGTCTTTTCTGCCACGGGTGACATGTGAATCACTGCAGCTATTACGTTAGTAATAATATTCTGTAAATTATATTTTAATATTCTGTAGAATATTCTGAGGGGGGCCTTCCTACAAGCACTAGACTAAAATGTGGTTAGACAGTTTGTGGAGCTGTGTATTATGCAAACGTAGCTCAAATAAAAGCAAGGGGGAAAAAAAGCTTGCAGCATAAAGTGATGCCCTGCAGGATTAAACTTTCCTTCCTGTTTTTCCCTTCCCAACTTGGTATTCCACACCGATGGAATGCGGTCTTCCTCATTCTTAATACTCATCTTCTACTTTTGTGCATTTCGGCCTTCCCCAGCACTTTTGACATACACAGAAATGGGAAACAAGAATTCCGAAGGAAAAAGTACAATTTTTCCAATTGTGCAACTAAGCCCTTTTCTTGAACTGGGAGATGCATTCAGAGGCTTGAAAAACGCTTAGTAGCTAAACATCCTTATTTAAACAAAAACGATCAACATATGAAGAATATGGTAGCTAATCTGTTTTAATAGCACAATTGTTTTATTCTATATGGCTCAAATACTAGACATATATGTTTTCTTTTATGTACACTGAGAGCATTTGCACCAAGTCAAATTCCTTGTGTGTCCAAACACACTTGGCCAATAAAGAATTCTATTCTATTTTATCTATTCATATACTGGGGGGGAAACAAGCAGTCTTAATTAGGCTTCCTAGCATGGACTCTGTTAATCACATGTTCCAGTAAGCCCCATTGAATTATTTCTGAGTGGGGAGGCATGTGTTGTGATTTTGGTCATACTGTATAAACTATTTCCCTTCCAGTCTGAACATAGCAAATTGATTTCTGGAGAGCAAGTGAAGCATAAAAATGTCAACATCAACAAAAGGCATAGAGCTGACACACCAATGTCACAGCCTTGGCTCGAGAGGAGACAGTCCCTTAATGTATTACATGGATGTCCCTCATCCTACCAAGAGGCACAGCCCAAGATGGCGGGAAGGTAGCTTCTCTATGGTACCAGTGAGCTGAAATTCTTGTGGTTGTGGTCTCTCTTTCCTTCAGTCGATATTATGCACGTACGCTTCCTTTCAAATCAGTCTTGATTCCTGACAAACCCAAGCTGCGGGATTTGTCTTGGCAAGATTTTTAGAAGCCCCTGCCTTCTTCCTTGTTGGAGAAAACTCCTGAGAAAAAGGATTGACAAAATATCTACACATCCTGGACAAAAAATTGTTTCAACTCCTCTCCTCAGGACGCCACTCTAGGGCATTGCATGCCAAAACAATTAGACATGGAGACAGTTCACTCTGCTGAACAAGTCATTCCCACAACGCTGAATTATGTCTAAAGATATTTACCCATTTAGTTGGGCTGTATTGCTATTATCGTAAAGGTGTGGTTTTTTTTCAGGAGGCAACTGGGCTTCCTTGTTCCTCCTTTTGAAGACATTTCGCTTCTCATCTATGAAGCTTCTTCAGCTCTGACTGGATGGTGGGGGACGGAAAGATGTATACTTCTTGCAGATGGCTGGTCGTTTGCATCCTTTTAAAGGGTCATTGAAAGATAAACTTGGAGGTTTATCTGTGTCTTCAGGGTCACCCCCTGGTTCCTGTAGTCTGCAATTTTTCCTCTGAAAATCCACCTGTCTGAAAGAAATGCAAATGACCAGCTCTATCGGCAAGGTGTATAAATCCTTCCATTCCCCACTAGCCTGTCAGAGCTGAAGAAGCTTCTTGGATGAGAAGTGAAACGTCTTCAAAAGAAAAAACAAGAGAGTCCAGTTGCCTCCTGAAAAAAGCACCTTTAGAACAACCATGACCTCAATGACTGAGAATCTCTACAGACTTATTGCTATCATTCATTTCATCTTTCCTACTAACTTCTCCTATTGGTTTCTTATGATTTATATCACTTTGTCGTTTATGTATGCACATCGAAAGCTTATGCACCAGAAACAAACTCCTTGAGTGTCCAATCACACTTGGCCAAATAAAGTATCCTGTTCTATTGTGGCCGGCCAAGAAAAAACAAACCAATGGATCTTTGAATAAATCAACCCACAGTTCTCACTTGAGAGACAGATCACCAGGCTCAAATTATCCTATTTCAGACACCTGATGAGATGACCCAGCTCCCTGGACAAGATTCTGAGATTAAAAAAAGATGGAAGTAAAGAGATGGTAACTAGCAACCAGCTGAATGGACTCAGTTACATGGTATTAGCCATAAATTATGGTAAGGTTCTTAGCTGAGTGTTTCCCAGGCCAAAATAGCATGCGAGTTGAAAAGGTGGATTAATATGTTTTTATTTATGCATATCTCAAAGCACCTGGGATAATCTCACTGCCGTTACAACAGAAGCAGTTAGATGGTTAGCTTTTTTAGATATTGAATTATTACCTCTAACCCATTGCAATTCTATGGCTCCATATTATGGTGATTTTATTAATCTATATATATAAAAGTGAAATACCACTCATGCATCATCACAAATTCTCCAGAACTGTAAAGCCTACAAACTTGAAATTTGGCATGTATGTTCCTCTTGGCTTCTAGGTGCTCACTAAGAAAGAATTTTTTGAAATGACCATCAGAGCATTAGTCTTTCCTATATTATTATTAACACGCTCTGATGCTAAGGAGTTCTACTCCCCCTCCCCACCTGAAAAGAAATCTGTTCCAAATGCAAAACACAAACAGAGGAGAGGAGTTTCAGTTTTATTTTCACAGCAGCAACCAGCTTTAGTACAGAACAGTTGAGCTAAGCCACACCCAGGCTCCTTGCTCACCCAGCAAATACTGCTTCAGTTTCCAAACAGCCCTCAACTCTCTCACACACTGACAGGACACTAGCCAGATGAATACCAATGGATGCTGGTAGGCAGAGGCAGATTTTTCCCCCTCCTTATTTTCCTCCCCCAAAACTAAGCCCGATCACAAAGTTTCGTAGCAAAGCAAGGGTATAGAACTAGTTTAATATATTATTATTTGAAATAGCAATAGCACTTAGACTTATATACCACTTTATAGTGCTTTACAATCCTCTCTAAACAGTTTACAGAGTCAGCATACTGCCCCCAACAATTTGGGTCTTCATTTTACCCATCTTGGAAGGATGGAAGGCCGAGTCAACCTTGAGCCTGGTGAGATTCGAATTGCCAAATTGCAGAATTTCACATGCTGTTGTGCAAATGGAATAGACAACAGGTGGAAAGCATAGGCAGTTAGCAAGACATCCCCAATAAAGGAGTGGTTCTGCAGGTGGTGACCACAGACCACTTCTCAGTTCCTATGCTTTCTGGCTGATGGTTTGGTCACTTTTGAATGCTGGCAGTGCTTTCACTCTAGTGATAGCATGAGACGGAGTCTACAACCCACACAAGTGGCTCAGGTAGCACAGCTCATCCAGGACGGCACATCAATGCGAGCTGTGGCAAGAAGGTTTGCTGTGTCTGTCAGCGTAGTGTCCAGAGCATGGAAGTGCTACCAGGAGACAGGCCAGTATATTAGGAGACATGGAGGAGGCTGTAGGAGGGCAACAATCCAGCATCAGGACGGCTACCTCCACCTTTGTGCAAGGAGGGACAGGAGGAGCACTGCCAGAGCCCTGCAAAATGACCTCCAGCAGGTCACAAATGTGCATGTGGCTGCTCAAACGGTCAGAAACAGACTACATGAGGGTGGTATAAGGGCCCAATGTCCACAGGTGTGCTTACAGCCCAACACCGTGCAGGATGTTTGGCATTTGCCAGAGAACACCAAGATTGGCAAATTCGCCACTGGTGCCGTGTGCTCTTCACAGATGAAACCAGGCTCACACTGAGCAACATGTGACAGATGTGACAGGGTCTGGAGACTCCATGGAGAACGTTCTGCTGCCTGCCACATCCTCCAGCATGACCAGTTTGGCCATGGGTCAGTAGGTCAGTAATGGTGTGGGGTGGCATTTCTTTAGGGGGCCGCACAGCCCTCCATGTGCTTCCCAGAGGTAGCCTGACTGCCTTTAGGTACCGAGATAAGATCCCCAGACCCCTTATGAGATCATATGCTGGGGCGGTTGGCCCTGGGTTCCTCCTAATGCACGACAATGCTAGACCTCACGTGGCTGGAGTGCGTTAGCAGTTCCTGCAAGATGAAGACATTGATGCTATGGACTGGTCTGCCCGTTCCCCAGACCTGAATCCAATTGAGCACATCTGGGACATCATGTCTCTCTCCATCCACCAATGTCACGTTGCACCACAGACTGTCCAGGAGTTGGGGGATGCTTTAGTCCAGGTGTGGGAGGAGATCCCTCAGGAGACCATCTGCCACCTCATCAGGAGCATGCCCAGGGAGGTCATACAGGCACGTGGAGGCCACACACACTACCGAGCCTCATTTTGACTTGTTTTAAGGACATTACATCAAAGTTGGATCAGCCTGTAGTGTTTTTTTCCACTTTCATTTTGAGTGTAACTCCAAATCCAGACCTCCATGGGTTGCTAAATTTGATTTCCATTGATAATTTTTGTGTGATTTTGATGCCAGCACATTAAACTATGTAATGAACGAAGTATTTAATAAGAATATTTCATTCATTCGGATCTAGGATGTCTTATTTTTGTGTTCCCTTTGTTTTTTTGAGCAGTGTATATCATATGTATGTATGTATGTATGTATGTGTATAGATAGATAGATAGATAAATAGATAGATAGATAGATAGATAGATAGATAGATAGCATGACCTCCGTAGATGGCACACACTAAATAAAATAAGTAAAATGTATATAGATAGCAATAGCATTTAGATTTATATATTGCTTCATAGTGCTTTGCAGCCCTACAACTATTGCATGAAGTTTGAGAAGGCCCTCCAATGCCCTTATCTGCTTTTATTTTACTCCAATTAATAAAACAGAATTCTGTTCCGTCTTTCTGCCTTCCTGCAAAATAGGAATTTCTCCCTTCTGCCACAACCAGTTACCGCCGGCACCATGCATCACTCCCCTTGGTGGCAATCCAGAAGACAATTGCTCCCTTGTGATAAAAGGCCCACACTTGACACAGCCTGGCCCCAATACAGCATTCTTTCCCGGTCTGAGTTAAGTAGGCGAATGCAAAGCAGCAGGGGGTACATAGCTTCTTCACTCAGTTGTGTTTGGGTGTGTGTGTGTGTCACTATGGCATCCTCAATCATGTCATTCAAGTCCCTATCCTTTCCTATGTGTTTTCCTGTATAGGAAAAACAGGAGCAGACATTTGATTGCTACCGTCTTCACTTACGGAATAACAGAGACAACAAAGACCTTGGAGGTCTTCTATCTAGGCAGAAGACTCTACAACGGTTCATTTAGTGACCATTCCAAAGTTACAACGGCACTGAAAAAAAAGGGGACTGATGACCGTTGTTCCACAACTACGACCTTCGTAGCATCCCCACTGATCGTGTGATCAACATTCCGATGCTTGGAAACTGCCTCATAGTTATGACCGTCGCTGTGTCCCAAGGTCCTGGGATCCCCTTTGGGGACCTCTTGACAAGCAAAATCGATGGGGAAAGACAGGTTCACTTAACAACCGAGTTACTCGCTTATCAACTGCGGAGATTCACTTAACGACAGTGGCAAGAAAAGTTGTAAAGCGGAGCAAAACTCAAATGTCTCACTTAACACCCAGAAATGTTGGGCTCAATTGTGGTGATAAGTGGAGAACTTACCTGTATCATTTCAGACAAAAAGTTCTTATTTTCAATGTAGGGTGATACTGGTTTTAGTGACCCAGCTTCTAATCCACTTTCAACCACTGGGAAAAGAATTGCAGAGCTCTGAGGTACCTTGGAGGTCCTGTAGTCCAACCCCCTGCTCAGGCAGGAGATCTTATGACATTTTGTAGGAAGTTAGCACCCACCCCTCTCCTAGAAAAATGAAATATCCTAGGAAATATTAAAAAGGCAGAATATTTCCCCTAAAAAGAGAAGTAGAAACTCAGAAACAGAAACTCACCTCAGAAGCAGCAGCTCACCACCAGCTTTGTTAATGGGTGGGCCCATTAAGGCCTGGGCCAGAATATTTTACCTAACAAAGATCTCCAGGTAGAGCTATAATAGGAATTGCCCAAAGCCCTTTTCATTACATCATCATCCAGCAAGGCTCAACCAAGCCTGGGACTCAGGACAGCCTACAGAGTTGCCCCTGCATGACCCCATGGGAGTCTGACAGCCAATCAGAATACAAGCTCAAATTCAAATCCCAACAGAGTGGTATATAAGGGACTCTCAGCATCTCAGCCCTTCCTTCTCTCTTTTCCTTCACCTTGAAGCATGTGATCGTCCTTTTCATTTTGGAGCTCCAAGCCATGTAGTCCTGTCCACCTATGGTGACAGGGGTTGTTTCCAGGGCTGAGATTCTACCAGTTTGCACCTATTTGCTAGAACCGGTTGTTAACATTCTAAGCAGTTCGGAGAACCGGTTGTTAGAAGAAATTCCTGGCCTAATCCTGTAAGGAAGGCAGGAAGGAAACATTCTGGTGTTGCTTACAGAAACTGCTTCTCCGTTAACCCTTATTACATTCTTGGCAGGACTAGACTTCCTGTCTCAGGAACGTCTCTGGAGTTTTTTTTCCCCTCCATTGCTGGTACTTTGCTTGTGTGGAGTGACCATTCAAAGTTACAATGGCACTGGAAAAAGTGACTTATGACCATTTTTCACACTTATGACTGTTGCAGCATCCCCACAGTCATGAGAGGCCAGGCAAGGAGATGCGTGCCTCGATGTGAGTGATATTGAGTTGGCCACGCCCAGCCAGTCACATGACCACCAAGCCATGTCCACCCAGTCACATGACCACCTAAGCCAGGCCCACCACCTAAGCCACGCCCACAGAACTGGTTGTTAAACATTTGAATCCCACCCCTGGTTGTTTCTTGAGGTGTCCAGGTAACACTAATGCGGAGAGGTTTTATGCAGCTTTACCAACAATTGGTTCTGTCATCCACGCGCGAGGAGAGACCATTCAAAGACTGACCATCCGTTCAATGCATCTAAAAATTCTTGGCTGCTTCTTACTTAACTGCAGCCTGACTCCGTTCATTGTGTTTTGCCTTTAGTTTGAATTCAGGACTCAGCACAAAAAATGAATCACTGGAACAATAGGATAAAATTAGTTAATTTGGTTCAAACCATCCTTCCGAAACGCCTTTTGCTCAAGGAAGTAAAAAGAGGGTGAGGGGAATATTGCACCAGTCCTGCTCTCATAGAAAAGAGTGCAGAGAAGAGCAACCAGGATAATTAGAGGCTAAAATATATGAAGAACGGTTACAGGAACTGGGCATGGCTGGTCTAGTGAAGAGAAGGACCAGGGGAGACAGGATAGCAGTCTTCCAATATTTGAGGGGCTGCCACAGAGAGGAAGGGGTCAAGCTGTTTTCCTAAGCACTTGAGGGCGAGACAAGGAAAAATGGATGGAAAACTGAACAAGGAGAGATTTAACCTGGAAATAAGGAGAAACTTTCTGACAGTGAGAACTATCAACCCATGGAACAGAAGTTGCCTTCAGAAGTTGTGGGAGCGTCATCACTTGAGACTTTCAAGAAGAGATTGGGCTCCCATCTGTCAGAAATGGTGTTGGGTCTCCCGCTTGGGCAGGGGGTTGGACTAGATGACCTACAAGGTCCTTTCCAACTCTGTTATTCTGTGATTCTGATTCATTCTCTCAATCTCGCCTACCTTGCAGGACTGTTGGGAAGATAAAATACCAGCGCACTGGTACATAAAAGTAAGAAGCATACAGTCTTCAGGAGTCAACTCTTCCAATCTGTGCATAAATACAGGTAGTCCTCGACTTACAACAGTCCATTTTGGTGACCGTTTGAAGTTACAACGGCACTGAAAAAAGTGACTTATGACCATTTTTCACACTTACGACCGTTGCAGCATCCCCACGGCCACATGATCAAAATTCAGCCACTTGGCAACTGACTTGTATTGATGATGGTTGCAGTGTTCCGGGGAGGCCATGTTTGTCGTGCCCTTTTGGGACCTTCTGACAGGCAAAGCCGATGAAGAAGCCGGTTTCACTTAACAACTGAGTTATTAATTTAACAACTGCAGTGATTCACTTAACAACTGAGGCAAGAGAGCTCGAGAAACGGGGCGGCCCTCATGTAACCGACGCCTCACTTAGCAACAGAAATTTCAGGCTCAAAACTGCGGTCATAAGTCAAGGACTACCTGCCCAAGGCAGGTTTTCTGAAACTCCGAAAGGGAGAAAAGCTCTTCCCGTTGGCATATGGTGCGGTGATACAGAAATAGGCCTGTGGTTTCCTCTCTGCATAAGGAATCATTAAATAAATAATTCAGACGCAGCCAGGGCACAGAATTACTCCAGGACAAAGGCAGTTATGCAACCTCTTTCTCTCAGGGATTTTGATCTCTCATGAACCTCATTTCATTTCAGCCTATTAGCACTTCCTTAATAAATAGGAGAGACCATTTGATTGTTCAGGGTTCAGGCATCAGGCTAGATACCAGGAATTATTGGATAACCAGGGGAATTTAAAAACAACAGAAAAATTAAAAGAACAAGGTAGAATTGTGGATTGGTGGCCATATATGCAGATAAAAACTAGGCCTAAAAAAGATATGGAGGAATTTGGAACCCCAACAATTAGACCAAATTTTAACAGGTAAAAAAGAAAAATTTATCACTAGAACATATAATTATTTACTCCAAGTAGAAATTGAGGAAGTAGTAGTTAAGGGCCCACTGATTGCTTGGGCACAAAATGTAGGTCATAGCATACAGTTAGAAGATTGGGAGAAAATTTGGACCAAGAACTGCTAATTAACGTTATCAACAGTGTATAGTTGAATAGTTTCCATCTATTGTTTCTTGTCTTGCCTTTTGGTGCTTTGAATAGAATATGAATAGAATTCTTTTATTGGCCAAGTGTGATTGGACACACAAAGAATTTGTCTTGATGCAAATGCTCAGTGTACATTCGTCATGAATCAAGAATCATCAGGTACAACACTTAATAATAGTCACAGGGTACAATAAGCAATCAAATCATACTAGGAAACAGTCTATATAAATCGTAAGGATACAAGCGACAAAGTTACAGTCATACAATCATGAGTGGGAGGGGATGGGCAATAAGGAGTGATGAGAAGATTAATAGTAACAGAAATGTAGACTTTGTAAATAGTTGGACAGTGCTGAGGGAATTATTTGTTTAGCAGAGTGATGGCATTCAGAAAAAAAACTGTCCTTGTGTCTAGTTGCTGGTGTGCAGTTCTCTATAGCGTCGTTTTGAGGTAAGGAGTTGAAACAGTTTATGTCCAGGATGTTGACCCCGTCTTCTTTGTGGCAGGCCCTCAAATATTGGAATACTGCTATCATGTCACCCCTAATTCTTCTTTTCTCTAGACAAGCCAAACTCAAATCCCACAGCTGTTCTTCATATATTTTAGTCTCCTAGGCCTTTAATCATCTTAGTTGCTCTTCTTTGCTATCCTTTCCAAAGCCTCAACCTCTTTTTTGTAATGTGGTGACCAAAACTGGATGCGGTATTCCAGGCGTGGCTTTACTAAGGCTTTATACTTTCGGTATTAATACTTCAGGTAATTTTGATTTGATTGAATACTTCACATTAACTTCAGGAGTGGGATTCTACCAGTTCGCACCTATTCACTAGAACCGCTTGTTAACATTCTAAGCAGTTCGGAGAACCGGTTGTTAGAAGAAATTACTGGCCTAATCCTGTAAGGAAGGCAGGAAGGAAGCATTCTGGTGTTGCTTTCAGAAACTGCATCTCCGTTAACCCTTATTACATTCTTGGCAGGACTAGACTTCCTGTCTCAGAAACTTCTCCTGAGTTTTTTTCCCCCCTCCTTTGCTGGTACTTTGCTTGTGTGGAGTGACCATTCAAAGTTACAATGCACTGAAAAAAGTGACTTATGGCCATTTTTCACACTTACGACTGTTTCAGCATCCCCACAGTCATGAGAGGCCAGGCGAGGAGATGCATGCCTCAATGTGAGTGATATTGAATTGGCCACATCCAGCCAATAACATGACCAGCAAGCCATGTCCACCCAGTCACATGACTACCAAGCCACACCCATTGACTAAGCCATGCCCACAGAACTGGTTGTTAAAAAAAATTGAATCCCACCCCTGTTTAAGTTCCTTCCACCTCTAAACTGCAAAGGGGCTCAATGTTGCAGAGGGCGGGGCATGTTCTGAGCCGAAAATTGTTTTCCTAAATACCCGTTTCTCTGAACATCCACTTGCTGAGGGAAAAAAAAAACCTTCATGAGTAAGAGGGCACCAAGGAATCAGTTCTTAAGTGCTCGATCAATGCAGAGAGGTTGGCGCTGTGCTTGGTGTGGGTGGCATGTTCTGAAATGAACACTGGGTTGCTTTGCTGGGAGCAGCAAGTAGCTTTGTGCATTCCCCACCCCCCCGCCTTTTTTGTCAGCTCCTGCCTACATTTACTTCACCTCTAATATAGCAGAAGATAATTTTATACCCTTCCATTCTGACAATGAATCCCAGGCTTTGCAGCGTCTGTTCAATTAATTCATTCCTTTCCCCTTTTCGGCTCTCAGCTCAACACTTTAAGCCATTGTGTGTCAAACACAGCTTAGTTGTCGGCTAACAATGCCATTGCTGCCAGTGCAATCACACACCTGAGAGTGCCATTACATAGTTTTATTTAATGAG